CACAATATAACAAAATTTATGGGGTAAAGCAAAAGCAGTGTTAAGAAGCAAATTTATAGCAATAAATGCCTAAATAAATAAACTCAGACAACCTAACATTACACCTTAAAGAACTTCTAGGAAAAAGATCAAACCAAGCCCAAAATTAGCAAAAGAAAGGAGATGACAAAAATCAGCAGAAATAAATGAAATTAGCAGAAATAAATGAAATAAAGAATAGAAAACAACAGAAAAGGTCAACAAAATTGAGTTGTTTTTTAAAAAAAATTAAAAATTGGCAAACCTTTAGCTAGACTTACCAAGAAAGAAAGAGGACTCAAATAATAAAATTATGAATGGAAGAGGGTACATTACAACTAATACCATACAAATGCAAGTGTCATAAGAGACTACTATGAACAGTTATATGCCAACAAACTGGATAACCTACAAGAAATTGATAAATTCCTAGAAATATACAATATACCAAGACTGAATCATGAATAGAAAATCTGAACAGACCAATGATGAGTAAGTAGATTGGATCTGTAATTAAAATCCTCTCAACAAAGAAAATTCAGTCCCAGATAGTTTCACTGGTGAATTCTGCTAAACATTTAAAGAAAAAATAATAGCAGTTCTTCTCAAACTTGTCTAAAATATTGAAGAGGAGAGAACACTGTCAAACTTATTTTAATGTAGTCCACATTACCTCATTCCCACAGTCAGATACTATAAGGATTCTACAAGAAAAGAAAATTATAAGCCAATACCCCTAATGAACTTTGATGCAAAAATTCTCAACAAAATACTAAGCACTTTCAACTACACATTTAAAGAATAATTCAACATCATCAAGTGGGATTTATCCCTGAGATGGTTCAATGTGTATAAATCTATCACTGTGATACACCACATGACTAGAATGAAAGATAAAAATCATATGATCCTCTCAATAATGACATAAAAAGCAACTGACAACATTTAACACCTTTTCATAATAAAAACTCTTAAGAAATTAGATATAGAAGGAACATACCTCAACATAATGAAGGCCATATATGACATGCCCAAAGCTAACATCATACTCAACAGTAAAAAGTTTAATACTGTCCCTCTAAGATCAGAAACAAGACAAGGGTACCTGGTCTCACTACTCCTATTCAGCACAGTACTGGAAGTAAGCAATTCCTATCAGAATTCCAATGGCATTTTCCACAAAAATAATTTTTAATAATTAAATTAAAATTTAATAAGATGAAAAAATTCATATGGAATTTAAAAAGACCCTAAATAGCTAAAGCAATATTGAAAAAGAACAAAGACATCCCACATCCTGAGTTAAAACTGTATTACAAAGCTACAGTAATCAAAACAGTATGGCACTGTCATAAAACCAGACACATAGACGAATAGAACAGAACTGACAGCCCAGCAATAAACCCTCACTTATATCGTCAGCTAATACCTACCAACGGAACCAAAGATATTCAGTGGGAAAGCAATAATCTCTTCAGTAAATGGTATTGAGAAAACTGGATATTCACATGCAAAGAATGAAGTTGGACCCTATCTTACACCACTCACAAAAATTAACTCAAAATGGACTGAAGACTTAACTGTAAGACCTAAAACTATAAACATAGTTGTAGTTTAGAAGAAAACATACGGGAGAAGCTCCTTGATTTTGGTTTTGCCATGATTTTTTGGATATGGCAAAAAGAAGAAAAAGCAGCAAAAGCAAAAATAAACATGTGTAACTACATAAACCTAAAAACTTCTGCACACCAAAAGAAACAACAAAATGAAAAGGCAACCTATGAAATAGAAAATCTTTGCAAACCATGTATGTATGTGCTATATGATATATTTGTAAACCATGATACATATATAAGGGGTTGATATTCAAAATACATATGGAACTCATACAATTCAATAGCAAAATATAATAATTTGATAAAAAATGGACAAAAGGGGCGCCTGGGTGGCTCAGTCATTAGGCGTCTGCCTTCAGCTCAGGTCATGATCCCAGGGTCCTGGGATCAAGCCCCCCGTCGGGCTCCCTGCTCCACAGGAAGCCCGCTTCTCCCTCTCCCACTCCCTCTGCTTGTGTTCCCTCTCTTGCTGTGTCCCTCTCTGTCAAATAAATAAATAAAATCTTTTAAAAAATGGACAAAAATAATAATTTGATTAAAAAATGGACAAAGGACCAGAACAGATATTTTTCTAAAGAAGACATGGCCAACAGGTATATGAAAAGATGTTCAGTATCCCTAATCAGTAGGGAAATGCAAATCAAAACCACAATGAGACACCATTTTACATCAGTTAAAATGGCTAGCATAAAAAAGACAAGGGATAACAAATGTTAGTGATGGAGATTCCTCAAGAAATTCAAAGTAGAACTACCATGTGATACAGCAGTCTACCTTCTGGGTATTTATCCAAAGGAAACAAAAATCACTATCTTGAAGAGATATCTGTACTCTCATGTTCATTGCATTACTCACTATAGCCAAGACAAGGAAACAACCTAAACATCTCTCTCCATTGATGGATGAATGGATGAAGAAAAGGTGGTATAAACTTCCAATGGACTATTAATATTATTCAGCCATAAAAGAGAAGATTCAACATGGGTGAACCTGAGGGCATTATGCTAAGTGACATAAGGCAGACAGAGAAAGACAAATACTTATCGGTATGATCTCACTTATATGTAAAATCTAAAAACATTGACCTCAATATGTATATAAGATGATGGATGTTAACTAAACCTATTACAATAATCACTTCACAATAAATGTAAATCAAACCACCTTAACCTTATACAATGATATATGTCAATTATTTCTCAATAAAACTGCAAAAGGCCCATGTTGAACTTACAGAAACAGAGACTAGATTGATAGTTACCAGGAGCTGGGAGTTGGGGGAAATAGGGCAATGTTGGTCAAAGTGTACAAACTTTCAGTTATAGATGAATAAATTCCAGGGATCTAATGTAAGGCAAGGTGACTATAGTTAACAATATTGTATTGTATGCATGAAAGTTGCTATGAGATTAAATCTTGAACGTTCTTACCATAACAACAACAAAAAAATGGTACTTACGTGAAAGATGTGTTTTTGTGGTAAACATTTTATAATATATATGTGTATCAAATCATCACATTGTACACCTTAAATTTATATAATGTTGTATATCAGTTGGATCTCAAAGCTAGAAAAATTTAAGAAAACTCAGTCTCCATTAGAGTACCTAGCTTGAGGATTCTACACCTATATTATCCGCATATTCTTAGATGTAAATAAGTTTGCATGTTACATATAAATTGGCTACTTAAATGTTTTCTTTAAGAATTTTCTTCTCAGAATGCTGATAATTTTAGTTTGGAAAGATTTTAATAGAGTATGACTCATTTAAATAGCTTTTATCTTATATGGCAACTCTAAACACTTTCTCACAGCCTCCTTATCCAGTATACTCTTGGTCAGGCTATAACTTCGTAAGAAATTATTTTTTTGTGTGTGTGCTCCATGTAGACTCATTTGGAACTCCCTCATTTGGGTAATGTTAAATAATGAGTAACTGATATTTCTCATTCTTTAGAGGATCCATTAAAATCCTTTTTATTACCATCTCATGGATAAAAACTTTATTTCAATATTTTAAATTTATTACAAAAACACTAAGTTAAAATGGCAACTACTTATAGATGCATAGAAATCTTGGACTTTTTTTCCCTATAAATCTATTAAAAAACGTAGCTAACTAGTCTTCATAAACAGCCATGTTTTAAACATGGCATTTTTTTCTAATATGAAAGTAACTCATTATAGAATACTGGCAAATATAAACTATATGAAAAAGAAAATGAAAACCACCCATCTATTATCCCACCACCCAAAGAGAACCATCATCCAAATATTGTGTTTCCTTAGTTTCCTGTGGTAGCATAGGCATAACTCTGTATCTTTGTGCCATTCACACAATTTTATGTATGTGTTAGATGACAAAGGGACAAATCCAAAATATTAAATATGTAATGTCTCATAGTGTTTATTATTTACAAGTCACTTTTATCTCCTTTTTTTTTAACCTTCACTAATTCTGTTAGGAACATTTTTTCCCAGGGTTTTGAACCTGAAGCCACTGCTTCACAGAAGTGTAGTTACAACATTAGCAATTTCAACATTAGCAAATCCTAGAGCTCAGATTCAAACTCAATTCTCTTGGCATCTCAAATCCCAGTTTTCTTCCTTCAACAATCCAACTACTTCATGTATTTGGATTTCTGCTACAATCTGTCCCTTTGACTAAATTAAAAATCATTCTAAAAGTTTGCCTTAAAACACCCTCAGAGTGTTACTAAATTAAGTTTAAATATCAAGTATAAATTTTCAAGCAATTAGTTTTGGTTTTGCCTGAGCAGAACACCCCACAGATGATGCCGAATAAAAACTATTTACACACTACTATAGAGCATTTCTTGTAAAAACATTGGGTCTGTAGCAGCGATTTGCTAATCAAATTCAGAATTTGATTTGAAATGCCTCCGGCAGGCAGCCAATCCAGTTATGAAAGAACAGAAGCAAAAACTAGAGCCCTGGTGAGTCTCCTCCAGAAGCGAGCTGGGTCTTTTGCTCTCATTAGCAAACTGGTTCCATAGGAAATCATTGTGATTGCTCCTAAAATAAAATATTGTAGTTAATTTTTTCAATAAATTATTGATACTGTGCTAGACACAAAACAGGTACATTTCAGAATCTAGAATTATAAAATATTTTGACATGTTTTAATATAAACAGGAACATTTCCAATGATTGCTTGGATCTAAAATGTTTTTCCACTTGACATTTGTTTATACTTCCTAGGAAAGAAATGCTATTTATGGATAACTGAATAACACAAATAAACATCAGAGAGAGCTGAAAAATCAGCTTTGATTATGCATGAAAATCTACAATGTCATTGTGTACTCTTATGCCGTATTCTGATTGCCTGTTTATTTTTACAGAACTGCTGGTGAGCCTATGGAAGAGGAGCCAGCCTTGTGAAGTGCCAAGCCCCCCACCCCCATATTTCCTGTGTGTGACATCATTGTGTATCCCCCCCACCCAGCACCCTCAGACATGTCTTGTCTGCTGCCTGGGTGGCACAGATTCGGTGTAACATAAACACTGGGCACAAAATTCTGAACAGCAGCTTCACTTGTTCTTTGGATGGACTTGAAAGGGCATTAAAGATTCCTAAAACGGAACTGCTGTGATTCTAAAGTTACAGTAAATCATGATTGGAAGAAACTGCTTCCAGCATACTTTTAATATGCTGGGTGACCCACTCCCAGGCCCAAAGTATGAACTAATAACATCCAGTACAGCATTAGATACTATTAATTATTATGGATGCTATGACAGCCAGTGAAATTTTGGGCAAAACCTGAGAAATACTCATTCCTGACATTCTGATCAGTTTCTTGTTGGGTAATTTTTGTCAGTCTTAAATTGTTTATAGGATTTGCTTTCAACTATCAACGGATAGCAGTTCCCGACATATTGCAGGGGTTGTTTTGTTGTTTTGTTTTGTTTGTTTTTTGGCCTTTGTTTTAACACATTGTTCAACTCTTGCTAGTAAGAGTTCAAGATGGAGGAACTGGGATGAGGCTTTTTTCAATAGAATAAACCATGCTATATCTCAAAGTCCAAATGCCAAAGGAACCTCATACTGTATGTAATGGTGCAATATTTTATGTCACAGTTTTTGAAAAAAATAACCCTATTTCCCTAACATCCCTCTGTGTATTCTCACACATGGGAGATTTGCAATTGTATTTGAGGATGAGGTCTCCCGTCCCCCTCATACATCCCTTGCTCTGATGATAAGAGTTTCAAGCATATGTTCCACCGAGGATGGTCTTAATTTTTTCCAAATTTCTCAAGAACTTAGTTCTCACTTTTCATCTTATTTCCTCCATCACATCCTTTCTTCTTACCTTTCATTATTCCTTCCTTATAGAAAAGCTAAAGATTACCCACAATCTCCCCAATTACTCAGGAGCTTTGAGTATTTCATTTATTTTATTTTATTTTTTACTTTTCAGGTTAACACAGTTGCTTGGCATGATGTGTTCTTTTAGCGGTGACAGCACTGAGGTGAAGCAGTGTTACTGAATTTTCTAGATCTTCAAAATGTGTTAATGAAGGCATTGCCTATTTGAAGTCACCTTGAATTGTGTTAACCTTGAAGTTGTGCCTTCCTGCGGAAAAAACACAAAAACACAAATTTAACCTTTACACATGTTGCCTTAATGTCAAAGGCTAAAAATAAAGGACATATATTTCTGAGATTAAAAGTGATTTACTAAATAGAACTAGGTTATGCCCCTACCTCCCAAAATTTTATTTCAATGTATAACTCAAACACCTAAAGACATTGATGTAGAATACCTCGCAGTATTTAATATCTGACAATGCTTTTGAAAGAGTTGATGTTTCTTTTTATATATTTTCCTAACTCAAAGGATATATTAAAGCCATAAGTGAAGATTGTCATGCTTTTATTCAGAAATCTGAAAGAAACTTTAATTAAAACAAGGTTTTAGGGAAGGCCGTGATATGAAAGATATAGAACAATATGGTTTTAGTTAAAGAGGACTCTAACCTGTAAATCAAAGATGAAAGATCTCACTCAAGTAAAATTATATAACTCCCTTTTGTTATATAGTCAGACCATATTTTTCATGCATTTAGTTTTTTTAGGATTACCATTTTAATTTTAAAGACTTTTATTACATATACAAAAATGGCTCAATACTTAGTTTAACATCTTAGAAATTTGAGACACCCTTTGAAATAGGAAATCTGAAATAGAATGTAACTCAGTATTAGGTAAAAATTAGTTTTATTACATAAGGGTAAGGTCAATCTAGATTCACAATAGTAATGAATTTTTGAAAAAATTAATATTTTCAGAGAAATTCATGCCAATCATATTTGCTAGCTCTTGCTATTTTCTGTAATTGTTTGAGGAGATTTACTTACAGAAAACCAAATAGTGGAGCCAAAGGGGAAAAAAAGACACCCCCCCTTAACAAGGAAAGTTATATCATATTTTAATTGGAAACGTAATTGTGACTTTTAAAAATCAACTTCATAGTAACAAATCTCTGTTATTACTTTCAGTCCTCCCAGGTATTTTTTTAGATATTGAATAATAAAATGAAACAGTATAGTGCAATCATACTAATTTACTGAAGTTTCCTATAATAATTTTGCCACATACCTGCTATACACAGCCATCAAACTGATAAAGCCAAATCACTAGGACATCTCCATGGTTGTTTAGATTTAAAACAGACACATTAATGAGTTAATCACACATCCTCCCATGTGATACTGTACCAAATTGGTTGCAGTTAGGGTCTTTAGGATACACGGAGAGGCAGATAAACTATGGAGAGGATTAATCACAGCTGAATGTAGTTGTAAGAACAGAATGCCAGTGCTTTTTGATTACACCGTTACAAGCTGTAGTATAGCCCTCAGGGATAGAATGGAGGCTTTTGGAGAATATCAATGCTTCTTTTGAAATAGACCAGCACTTTTTAAAAGGGTGGTTTCACTTGGTAATAGTTTTCTTCACTTACACATTTAATTTTTATTACTCATAATAGTAGGAGGTTATTAGAACTCCTCTCTAAACATTATCAATAATAGATCTTTCTGATCCATACTTTGAAGGTTAAATACATTAGCTTTCTCACAGTCTCATAGCTCATACATGATGAATAAAAATGATGACTTTTTAGAAATCAATTAATAAACAATCCTAGGGCTTTAATAAGTTTTGATAATAAGTACAAAAAAATTAATTTTCTCAATTTATAATATAGTACAATCCGGGGTTGCATATAAAATTGAAAAACAGACAATTTTATTAGGATAATAAGTAAAATGGACTTCAAATGGTAATTGAGGCTATTTAGTTATTGCTTAGTAAATAGGAAGAACATTTTGAGATGAAATATTTTAAAACATTTTTAACAAATTTACAACATCGATATTAGAGATAGAAATCCACTTTTGGAGAAAACAGAGATACTCATGAAAAACTATTACAAATCACACTTTCCATTACCAATCACAAGAATTGAAATCTTGCCTTCAGTTTTGACTATAACCCTTTGCAAAACTTCCACATACTCACTGAGGATAGCAGAGGTGCCTGGCTGGCTCAGATAGTAGAGTGTGCAAATCTTGATCTTGGGGTTGTAAGTTCAAGCCCAACTGGGTGTAAAGATTACTTAAAACTTTAAAAAAAAAACAACAAAAAACATGGTGGGTTTGAAAGCAGGACGTTTCCTCATACAATTTCAGAAACTATAGGGCTGGTCTCTCCTAACAGTTTAGTACTGTTTTATTTCCCAAGGTCATTCATAAAGCTTTGTGGATATACTGGGTTTCTTCACAGACTCCATGTGGAAGTAAAATAGAATGAACATGTGGAAAGTCTCCTGGGAGAAAATTTCTCTTCAATCGGCACTTTTATACTTATTTTTTATGCAAGCATCTATGTTTAGGATGGTTTATTTAAATATTTCTTGCTGTTTTTCTTTTGAAAGTTTACACTCAATTTGTCTCAGTGAAAGTATTAAATGTCTAATAGCCACAAAACAAACAAACCAAAGGTTTCTGTCTTAAAAGCAAATCATTCTGAGCTTGAAATAATCACTCTGTCAGAATTTGACATTGTCATTTGTAGCAGCATCTATCTTAACATTCTTTTCCCACGTCAGGAATGAAATCACTTGACTTGCTGAGGAAATTAAAAAAAAAAAAAGAAGAAGAAGAAGAAGTAGGGAACAACACCTGTTCAACTATTCCGTAAAGAGGGCATTTTCACCTCCAAAAGAAATGAAAACCAGATGATCTAAGCTAAGAAATGGAGGCATTTTATTGTTGTCTTCAAAATTGATCATCAACATGGTCATGATCTTCATCAGGTATCTCTTCTCTTCCCAGAGGACACAATTATATTTTGGTCTCCAGCAGTATTTTATACTATTTACTGACTTTTGAATGAAGTATTATGAGTATTACATCACCTGAATCAACACCATCACTAAAATATGTAAGTGCCTATGTGTGGCTTCTTTTCCTAGTCATATTTACATTGAAAATCATAGCTCTTGCCTCCTTGCTTTTACTCCATCAAACCCTTCATGAAACAAAGCAGGCTTGTCATGTGGTCCAGAGTATAAATTTTTTAGATGAACATGGTGTACTCATACAGGACTCTAGAACTTGATTTCTCCAAATCAGCTGCAGTCTATTTTTTTTTTTTTTATGAAATACATGGCTGGTTTTATATAATGGTTTATGCAACAACTGAGTCAGTTATAATATGCTGGAAATAGCTGGGTCAGACAATTTAAACTTAGACTCTTGATCTGGGGTTTTTTGGACTTGATCTCAATAAGAGAGTAATAGGGGTGTAACAATTTCTCAAACCATCTTCATTCTCAAACTGGAACTTCTGGCAAATACATGGTGAATTCACCATACAGTGCCAGTCTTTCTAAACAATAATTTATTTTCCACCTTTTTCTCCCTCCCTTGTCCAACTGCAAATACCAAGTTGCCATATCTAAACTATCAGAGTAATTTCTTAAATCTCTATATTTCCTAAGTAGAAACAACCTTGGCAACTTATTTTATGAACACTACTAGGTAATATTTTGATTCATACCAATTTATATAAACTCTAGTAGATACTCTGTCTTCCTTTTTATCTCTTCCTTCTCAAGAACCACTTGACTTTTTTTACTATTCTTATTTTAAAAGATAGATCCAGTTATTGTCTTTGGCCTACAAGTTTAGACCTGATACTTTGTTTTATTAATACAGAATTTTTCTTTTGGTCTCAAATACAGTTTTCCACCATTCTTGGTACTGCCAATTGTGTTGTACTATCATCACATAAAGAAGATTGTACATATACTTTTCTTGCCCTTTGGATGATGCCTTTGTGAGTCAAACTCAGAAGCATAAACTCTAACCTGAAGAAAAAATGGCAGAAGAGTAATTTTAAATCAATGTAATTTGGAAATAAGATATTATTTCCAGACTATTCAAAGAAAATTGTGGAGTTCTTTTATTTTTCTGTTTGGGCCTTAGGCACATTAGAGGCAAATGTTGCAACATCAAATAAAATAAGGAGGGTCAAATATTTTGTGGGACAATGTAGTCATGTCCTTTAGGCTTAATTTCAGTGCCCTTTCTTAGAGTTGGCATTTTATGACACTTGATATCTTGCAGCAATTTCAGGCTATTGCTTTTATTAACTTAAAATTGAGTAGAAACAAAGTAAAAGGACAACTTAGGAATTAGGAATTCTGAGATCTGAGGAGGAATCACACTTTCTTGGGGATGAAAAAATTGTTTTTAGATAAAAATCTACATATGCTTTTTCTAAATTTTAAGATTCTCAAACTTTTTCTGGAGGAGCAATGTCAGCGTCTGTCTCCACAACAGCTGGGTTATATGAAATTGCCCTTTCGGTGGTTGCTAGGCATAAGAAGCATTCTGTTACAAGTGAATGACCATTTTGTAGATTATAGTCTCATCAGTTTGTGTCATTTGAAAGCAAATATCCTGATATTTTTAAACAAGGCAGGCAAGGCAGGCAGGAAACCAATATTTATTATTCTCATGATTAAACACTTTAGACCAGGCTTGTTGATGTGTATGCCAATAATCTGGAGTTTCTGGCTTTGTGTAAAATTAAAATGTCTTTTCTATTGTGGTCTGATATCTGTTTCTGTAATAAGATAAGTTTGTTGTCCTCTGTGCACCAGTGGTTTTGCCCTTAATTTTTTTGGCTAGCATTCACCAAAAATCTGTCATCCAGAGCTGCTGAGAAAAATACATGTTGCCAAACTTCTTTTCTTAAAATTGTGCTGCCAGTGTTTTCCCAGATGTGAAAAATAATTATCTAATAAAGGATTAATACCTAATAACAATACCATTGTTGAACATGCTCATGGAATGTTTACCTTCTTTCTGATTCCTTTTTTGTATTTGGAAATATTAAATGGCTAATTCAATGGTGTGTTCCAAATTTTTGTCAATGTTGTTAATGTTGTGATTCTCCTTCAAAGAGGATGAAAGATCCCCCTTTGTCTTGTGTTTTCTACTGAATTAGATTTTCCTCTAGTCCTAGTGTGAATAAAAGCTGTTTGAAATAAAAGTGTTATTATTTGTCTACCTCCTTGGTGTTCACCATTAGACTCTGAGTACTAGGTATTTGACAAGTATTTGTTTTGTTTTGTTTTGTTTTTTAAAGATTTTATTTATTTATTCATGAGAGACAGAGAGAGAG